CACCAACAACAACAACCACCACCACCGCAACCGCAACCGCAACCGTGCCGCAACCGCAACCGCAACAGCAGCAACAGCAACCAACATCAATTTGTTCCAGTCATAACCGGCAGTAGCACAGCAAATGCTTGTTGCCGCTGTTGCAGAAATTGGATGCCACACAGCGGGCCATAGAGCACAACAACGAATTTGAATAGAAGGTGCCCTGTGGATTTCCTCGAACCCCTACATTACTTACATGCCATGTTTCACAGCAATTGCCTCGGGGAGCCCAGCAGCTGAACTCCTAGGCACCAGGCTGCTGAAGACGTCAAACGCAGCTCTCCGTGCAAAGCTCTGCGTTTCGCCCTGGGACGCCCTGGGGATGCGACGCTGGAACGGACTCGGCTTCGACGTCGTCGATCGCCTGAACACTCTTCTGAGGGTCTGGAGAGCTGGAGCTCGTGAACGGCTCTTAGGAATCTCAGGAGGGTCCAATCATCCAGCCCAAGGCTCAGGAGGTTCACCTTCTTCTGGGCCCTCCTCTGCGGCGTCCGGTGTGTGACCCGAAATCGGCTCGGGCACAAGCTGCACAGAATTGTCTGCCTGTGCTTGTACCTGGCATCATATCTGCAGCCGCCTAAGCCCTCTTGGAAAAGGGCCCTCAATTCCCCCCTGTGTTTTCCCGTTGTGATTACCTTTTATTCTACACGCCAAAACGGGGACACGCAAAAGGAGGGACAAAGCATTTCAAGGCCGACAAAAGGTGGATTCCTGAAACTACTCCAAAACCCACTCCAGGCGAGACGCCTGCCGGTCCCTCTGGGTAGACTCCGATTCTGCCAATCCTCGTGGGCAGTCATCCACTGGGGGGTCCCAAAAGGTACAAGCAAAATCTATCGTGCCGTGGCACGTCTCTCCAGCATGGCGATCTGCGCCCGGAGCTGAGCATTTTCAGCCTCCAAGATGCTTGGCCTGGCCGCAACCAACAGATCTCAACATGTTGCGAAAACTTCGGCGCTTCCAAGGAAAAAGTGGCCTTGTCGCCTCTGCCCCAGATCTGGGCCCAGACAGCACGAAGACATGCCCTTGAATCACCACATCCTGTCTTTGACTAGCTGCACTGCATTCGAAAGGGCCGTGCCAAGAGATCTGAGAGCAGGCGTTAGTTGGCGCCCACTGCGATTGGGACTGCGGGGCTACACTGCGGGCTCGCGTCGACGTCTGAAGACCATGTTCCCAAAGCCAGGAAGCTGAATTCTTGTTTGCTGGTTTGCTACTTTTTTGTGTTCTGCCACCAAGCAAAGTGCCATGGTGTCGTCGCATGTCCTCAACATCGTCGAATAAGCCGCCGATGACTTCGTCGTCAAGCAATGGCACATATGCACCGCCAGATGTAGTCAGAAGTGTGACGTTCTCCTCCGAAGAAATCCTCGGCTTACGGAGATTTGGAGAACTGCTTCGTTCACACTACGCCGCTCCGTCGGAAACTCGACAGGAACAGCTGTCAGTTCCTCAAGAATGTGCTGCGCAGCTGCCTCTGCTGCACTGCTAGCCTCAGGTCTGCAACGGTCGCTGCTCGGGTCAGGCCAGTCCTCAGGAGACACACTTGCGTTGCAAGGCTGATTATTGCCCAAGGTCTGTCGGAATTGAATTGATCATATTGGGTGCCAGTACACAGGAGGCAGTACCCATCCATTGCTGTCCGCGCCACATCAATTCAGCTGCACGAACTTCGCCGGCCAGGGTGGAATCCTTGCGGGCGGGATAAGCCTGCCCCACACAGCACATCTTGCAGTACCATCAGTACCCACAGACTTAGTTCATGAGTGGTCCTGCAGCGAATCTGCAGCAATACGGGTCCGCGGCCTTTCCAAGAAGGGGCATGGCCACACCACTAAATCAAGCGCAGCGCTGTGCAACAAGACCCTCGAGTTTCGCCGCCTGCCGGTGTCAAACAGAATCCTCCCCATGTCGTAGATCTTCAACTAGTAACTAGTCAAAATAATGAACATTTCTTGTCGCCGGAACGACAAGAAGCTGGAAGGCTAGGAAGAAGCAATCCGAGACGCCTTTCGCCGCATGATGAGATGTCCTGCATGCAAAGACTCAGAGTCATCGTTCATCGTTCTGTCATGTCTGTGAGAAGTCCGCGATTCTTGAAGCCATCCGTCGATCGCAAGATTAAAACTGTCACCTACAAAGCCGCACTGCGCTGCTCACACGACATGACTCCTCGTCACCAATGCAAGTCGACTCGGAGCTTTGCCCGGGCATGTGGCCTTAGAATGTGAACATCCAGCAAGCAGCAGAGAAACGACTCTGACGAAAGCTCACTGGCCTGTGTTCCGTCCCTTTGTTTGTCAGCTGAGTTCCTCACCCGGGCCCAGGCCACTGTCGGAGGCGCAACTTTCTTCCTCTGATTCCGAATCTGTCGCCATGTCGAAGCATTGCCTCGTTCTGGCGGGATGACAACATGTTCTGCAAATCATGACAGCATATGAAAGCATCGGATGACTTC